TCCTCCTTATATATAATTCCCAAATGCGCTGAGCCTACGTGGCTGCTTCTGGTGCTTCGGAATCATATTTGGCGAAGAATCATGCTTCGTAATTAGGTTTGGATAAATAATATTGATATATTAATAAATAATAATCTAGGTTCGGGTATTCCATAAATATTATTTAGTTAATTTAGGTATTTTAATATCACTTTTTCTAATATAACCCTTTAATTCTTTGTAATTTTACATAATGAGGCACTAAGTGACTAATATATCCCTGAATTTTGATTTGTTTCCTTCAATAAGCTGTTGAATTATAAATGTATTTTAAAAGTTGATAACTATTGTATTTCTTATCGGTTTTAGATTTATAATATATCAAATTAATCATCTTTTGTTGATCTTCGATTTGACATCCATATTGTATATATGAAATAAATAAATTATATTTATCTTTATAATAATAAAAAATAATAATATTTATTAAAATTCATTAGAAAAATAAAATTATTTCTCAATTGAGATATTTATATGTAATGTAGTTATATATTGTAAGTTAAAATAAATAGTATAATATAACACAATTAAGTTGCACAAATAAAAAATGTCATAATAAATATATAATAACATATATATTCTTATAAAAGGTATTTAAATTTTCAAACTACTTTTTCTCATTAATTCTAGATTTTAAGAAAAAAAAATTAGCAAGCACCCGTGTAATACACGGGTGTTGTACTAGTAAAAAAAATAAACGCAAAAAAAAATATTCAATTTAATATCACAATTATACCTAGCACCTCAAGTGTTATCCAGAACTCGTGAATGTCGTCCGTGGTAATTGAGTTATTAGCATTGCACGTCATACTCATGTAACAGGCACAAGGAAGTCCATGCGTCCATCTGAGTACGCACCCGCAGCGCGTCGTAACCTCATCGCTCAAGTCTCGAATCCTCTTATACTCTTCGTTCAATAACTCCAAACAATAATGCGAGACCCTCAGTGTTAGCTGCAAGAACGGAAATCCGGTGTAATGGTAACTCCGTTTGTTCCGGCACTCCTCCAGCGTGGTCCTGATAATAGATTGCATGAATGAATTTATAATTAACTAGTATTCGATCCTGTGCACATGCACAGATGCAAATAAAATTTTATTTGTTATATCTATGTGTACGTAATATTTAAAATCATAAGTTAGATAATAGCATATCAAATTTTATATATTTTATCATTAATAAAAATGAACGATGTCAAAATTGACTGGATAAAAATTTTTTGCAATCTTTATTTAGTATGAACAAAATTGACTGGATAAAAAAGAATATTATTATTATAATAATAATTGTGTTCGAAAATTTAATAAAAATTAAGTAATTAATGTTAGTAAAAAATACTTGTTTAATGAGTTAAAACAAAAAATAAAATAAAAATCACATAAATAGTTTGAAAAAATGTTTAAATTATAATACCATTTAATGTGATTTTAGATTGCTTATGAGTAGTTGTTATATAATAAAACTGCAAAAAAATATAATTTTATAGATACATGAATAGCACAATAAATATGTGTAGCTTAATAAATTAACGTACCTGATTTGAGTGTGTTGGGACTCAATCTCCTTGTGAGCCTTCTCCCACACCGTGTCAAGAGAACCGGTGGACGTGTTAAGCCACTGCTTCAACACATTGTGGGAACTCTCCACCATACACGACGTGGTGTTACCCAAATGCAGGAAGTGATTCGTCCACGCTTTGACAAATTTTTCCTTGTGGACTAACCACGTATCTTCTACGTACTGTATAACAAGAGGGAACTTCTTGTACCGAAGTTGCATGTCACGGCAGTGTCGTACTCGACCACCGTGCTCGCTTCCAGGATCTTCTTCCACCGACCACGCGTGAACATCTCGGCGAATTGACTATTTTTGTGGGTGATTTTATAGACCCTCTGTTCCACATCCTTGTTGATGTGCCACGTGCAAAGAAGATGGGCAGACATCAGAAAATTAATCATAATAGGATTAATCAACCCAATCTCCCTGTCAGTGACAATGACTGAATGATGTACATCAGACCCAATCAAATCTCTCAACCGCTTCAGAACCCATTCATAGTTGTTCTGGCTCCCGTCCTTCACAATTGTATATGCAATCAAGAAATTCTTGTTGCACGGCGTCATCCCTATTATTTCCACAAGGGGCATCTTGTACCTGTGCAAATGAGGGCAACAAAATCAAACAAAGAATAAAAAAACGTACCTACTCAGACATAATAATTAAGATTCGTACTAAATTGTTATTTATAAAGTAACGTACCTGTTGGTTTTGTACGTCGAATCTATACCAACGTACCAATAATATGTCTGAAAGAGAAGGGCTGATTGGGGATGCGACATAAACACACGTGTCAAGGTGTGTGTGTGTGTGTGTGTGTCCTTATTAGAATCCGTGAAAACTATGTAATTAGCCCGGCTAGCCAGATGCATAAGCTGCGAAGTCACATCTCTGCCCTCAAAACTCTCTGATCGGAGTTTAGCCCTATAGTTGTAAACCTGTTGACGAACCGCGTTGTCAGACGGGTATTTCTCCTGTATCGCTGCCAATATTACCGCCGGTCTTGCCTGGGCAGCTGTTATGTCACGGACGATCTGTCTCGCCTTTTCACTTAATCCGCTGAACGGTCGATGACCCTCGGGATACAAAACCATCGGATGATTATGGTTCCCTTCCGGTCATCCAGAGGAAAACATACACTCCAGGAATCTTTCGTACCGGCCACTTTTTTCAATTTGATCTCAAACAGGCATCCGGTAAATTTTGTTTTCGACTTTCTCAGGACAGCATTAACAAGATTGGATATTTTATTACCTCGATAACATTCCCCTCGGTTACACTTCAGAATCCTCAATGTTCCTCTATTTGAGTGCTTTGAAATAATTAGTTCAAAATCACAGATAGTTGTCATACCGACTGCATAGTTAATAGCTTTTCTAAGACTATCAAATATCTCACCTGTTCTGAAAAAAGGCCAATAATCAACATTATCTCCTCCAAAATCCTCAACTGGCGCCTGCAATATATTACCAAAACATAATCAATTACAAGTAACCATTAAAAAATAATAATTTATATTATATTATAACAACACATTTTAAAATTATTATTACTTTTTAATAATAATACATATATGACTAAAAATATTATTATTAAAAATATTTTTATTTTTAATATTTAATATTTTGGTATATTATTATTTTTCATATATATTATTTTTAATATATATTTTAATGATTATATATATATAATAATTATATATAATTAATATATAATAATTATATATTTTTGTATATTATAATAATATATATTTTTAATATTTTTAAATATATAATTATATTTTGAATATATTTTGAATATATATTTTTAAATATATAATTATATTTCATAATTATTATAATTATAAATATATATTATAAATATATAATTAAAAAAAATTATAATATATATAATTATATTTCGTATATTATAAATATATAATTATATAATATATATTATAAAAAAATTGGGCACGACGGCCGGCCGGTTCAGGTCTGGCCGGTCCACAATACCGGCGGACAATGGACCAACCGGCCTGAGTCAAAGTACCTTGACCAAGAGCCGGCCGGCACCAGTGGCCGGCTATACCTGAGCCGGCCAGCATAAGCGGCCGGCCAGAGCTTAACCGGCCGGTCCGGCCGGCCGACCGCCGCAAAAAAAAAAAAAATTTACCTTATTCGCCGCCATCGTTGTTGCCAGAGTAGTTCGGAATTTTTTCGAAATTTTTCGAAGTCCGGAACTGGGAGAAAAAATGTGTAAAGTGAATAATGAATATTTTTTTATTAAAAAGGGCAAATTTGACTTTTGGGGGCGGTAACTATCGAAAAGGGGGCGGCAAATATCAACACCCTTAATATAATTATATATTTGTATATATGCGGAATGAGGAAAACATAAAATGACCAAAAAAAAAATGTGACCCCAACGGTCACAAAGTCAGAGAGAGAGTAATATTGTGTAAATGTTTTACGAAAAAAAAAATAATAATTTATTAATTATTATGATGTTATAGTAACAAAATGTTATTAAAACACTTTTACGTAAGCCATTTTCTATAATTGAGTATTTACCAAATAAGGTGAGTAGTTATATAACCAAAAAAATATATTGTTTTAAAACAAATTCCTCTCTTTTATTTAAAAAAAAAAAAAATCCTTCTCACGATGGCAACATTCGATCCATATAGCCGCCCCACTTAGTGGGATTTTAATGGTTGTTGTTGTTGTTGTATCAAGTATATTGTAAATAAAACATTAATATTGAAAAGAAAATAAAAAAAAAAAAATGTTTAATTTTTGTCCCTTTTTTACTGTCTTCTTTTTCATTTGTTTTGTTTTTTATGCATACACACATTGAGCTAGCGCCTTGCCGGCCAACGTCCTCCCCTTTTCCTCGACCTTCAACCTTCGGCTAACGAAAACCACCACCTTTCGTCGTCATTTCCATCCATCATAATTAACTACTCCGTTCTATTCCCTTTCGTGTTGCATCTTTTGAGTCGATATGCTCATTTTCACCATAGCCCAATCACAGTCCATTTCAGTCGTATATCTGTTACCTATCAGTTAAAGTTAGGGTAGAGATGAATCGAACGCAAGGTTTAACCTGGTTCAGTTCTTTTGGTGAATACGAAGTGTGGTGGTTTGGGGTGACGGTGGTGGTAGTTTGTATGATGGATGGAAACTGGAGTGTGCGCTGTGGTTCGTATCTCTCTGTGTGTGTATGTCCATGTGGAGCTACTCGTGTGCTTTCCCAGCGGTGGCGGAAGACCAGAGGCACAGGATGGACGGGGTGGTGAGTATGGGAAAAAGTTGGAGGTTGGCAGAGTGGAGGGGAATGACGACGAAGGACTGCTCTCATTTTGAGCCAAAGTAGAGAAAAGTCCTACTTTAAATCATACCGGTTCGCGAAATTCGTGCGCATAAAATCATACCGGTTCTCGAGCATTTGTAGATATATATTTTTTTTAAATCGAACGAGCCGATCCTTAAAAATCTCGGCTGTAGTGAAGAAAATTGAGCTTTCGTGATAAGGCCATTGCTCGACTCAGTTCTTCTCGTCTGTACACAGCCCTTAAAATTACCATGTATGGTTTATTTATTCATATATGAAGGCATGGTTGACATATACATTTGAGAATTACTTATTTATTATAAATTCATTTTCATGCCTTTTTATTCCCTTCATTACTTTTGGAGAGTATGTGTATCCTTAATTGTATTTCTTAAGTATACATTACACGGTTTGAGATGGTATGCAAGGCGCCTTAGGATGGATGAAGATGGTGATATCGCTGATGAGTTCCTTGATGAGGTCCCACCCTATATGGAAGAGCATGATAAACGTTTGCCACGGTTTGAAGTGAAGTACAGCACCAAGCCCGCTAAAGTGAAAAACCTCGACCTTTTACCCAACGGTAGAATCCGACACCTCATGGAGTACCAGGGCAAGCTGGAATGGGTTTAAATGTCATTTACGGCCACTGTATCATGGTGACTAGTGTGTTTAGGGGAATGATGGAGCTGATTGGTTGTTTGTCATTCTACCTAATTAAGTATTTCGCGTGTGGTTACAGTTAATTCAGTTTCTGAGCAGAAAAAGGTGGTGAAGATGAAATACAACGTTGGTTACCTGTGAATGCGCACCGTGTATTACTTGATGAACAGCTTTGGCACGACCATGGAAAACTGTACGTTTAACCTTCCACATATATAGTGTATACATGGCTTCGGAAATGTTCAGAATTTGTATTTTTCTACTTTATTGTTATTTTTGTTCGTTTTCGAGTTTTACGGTGTACTGTCTTGATCTGTGTGAAGGGAAGTAAGAAAATACAAGGAAAAGAGAATAGAAAGAATGAATCGTTCTGTAACATTTCCCATAAACATGTAAGAATTTCTTACACCTAGACTTAATAATAATCAAATTAATATGTTCCATTCAATAATAATATATAACCATATGTTCTCTTCTCTCTCAAAATGTCAAAATCTTATTTAGCTTCGTTGCTGGTGAGACCATCAGCAATGTCTATCAACAGCTTGGCATAACTCTTGGCCTCGTGATTCCAGTCCCCGATGTCTGGATCGTTTGTCCTAGTTATGGCCTTTATGCATCCATTTATATAGTCCTCAATCACCTCACCGTCTAAACCCGCAATGGTCGATTCTTGAGAAGCATCCAACATAACGTTTGTGATGTACTCGGCTATGTTCTCGTAAGATGCGAGGCAACTATCGATGGCTGGGATCAAATCGGGTTTTGTCGTGAGGTCCTCAGACATATCCGAGAGTTGATTGAGGGTTCGATTCACAAAAGACGAGGTGGAGTTTATGGCAACTTGAAGGAGGGGATTAAGGTCGTTTGTTTTCGCGTTTGCGGCATTAGGGTTCTTAAGGACTCTGAGGCAAAACGGTTTGGCGACATTAAGCCGTTTGTGGAGGCAGAAATTGTTTACGGTTTCGTACGGGTTGGGGTTTGCAAGGGGATTGGGGCTTATGTTTTGGTTGTTTGTCTGCTGCCCTTTTGTGGATGAAAGAAAGAGGAAGAACAAAGGAAGGACAATGGTTAGTGTTATTATGTTTCTTGAGGGACTCATGTTTTTTGGTGGGTTGTAAAGGGTAGAGAGCTATAAAAATAATGCCTCTACAAATTTGTGTGCTCATGTATAGGTTTAATCTTATATGACTTCAGTTATAGCTTCACATTGATGAATTGACATTTATTGAAGATGTTAATGAATTTGGATGTTATGGCTTCACAATTAATGACATGAGATCAATCAAATAAATAAATAAAAAAATAAAAATAAATAAAATCAACAACTAATTTTTTTTTTTTTAAGAAAAAAGAAAAAGTTAATTACACAAAGAATACCAACATCCACAGAACCACAATACATGGCTGAATATACCAGCATGGTGACCAGTTCAACTCTCCTGTTGGGAAGAACACAATAGCAAGAAACAGTACTTACCCCCAACAGTGCTTCCAAACAAAATAATAATTTAAATTAAAAAAAAAAAAAAAAGAGAGAGAGAGAGAGAGAAAGAGAGAGTGGCTACATTGATCCAAGAAAGAGCAAGAGAGAATGGTGACACAAATTTTAACCCAGACCCTAAAGAAGAACACCACAGTTTGCCTCCATTGATAAAGCACATCATCATTCGAAACCCGCGCTTTCTTTCCTCTTTGTTATATTTCTTTTGAAGTAGCATAATTTCTCTCGTTCGCAATCTCCCAGCTCGACTGACGCATGTCCGAATCCATACCGGGTTGGGCCCGCCTGTCTGAACCCAAGACAGAATCAACCTCGGACAGATTATAATGACGTGGCACGTCGCTGCCCCTACTCCATATATCGGCCTCAATATCCTCTATATTATGGCGTTGTGAGATTTTCAAAAGATCGCCACCGATATCTAAATCATCTTCAACCTTTATGCGCCGATCATCCCCCGAGTTATTATTGTCCTCTGGTTCGGATCCCCGTGTGGAGTGTACGGGTGGCGCCCTCTGGGGCTCATCCTGCACAAAAGCCCGGAAATCATTCCTCGAGGGCTTGATCTTGGTGCAAAATACTTCTAGGAAGTTGTTGAGACATTCACCATCGTAAACGTTGACCCTGTTGTCTGATCGATAACGGAAATTTTCGTAGGTCGTCTGTGAAAGCAATATGAAATGGTATATTACTCGGACAGGGTAAAAATTAGAACATCCAATATAAGACATAAAATCAATATTAATGATCCCCCACCAACAACCACAGTACTTATAAAAATCAGGCGAAAGCAAATGTTGAAAACTAACTGACTCGTGATTTAGTTCTTCAGAAAAATTTTACTTTCCAAGATGGAACAAAGAAAGCTCACCTGATTTGAGCTTATTAGATAGAGGTGAAAGCCCGTAAGCCCACCAACGAACCACAAGGATATGAAACAATAGACCATGAGAACCACAGACGCAGGGGACTCTTTCATGGCCTTCCACACGGTGCCTTGATGATCATCCATCAAGACCTTTATGTAGAATGCAGATATTGCAAACACGTAGACACAAAGAAGTGTTGCCGAGGATACAAAGCAGAAGAAAAAACGGTAGTTTCTCTGCACATTCAAGCGAACAAAATGCAGACAAAAACAGAAAATGGAAAATAGAAGGGACTCATTATGTTTATAAAGCAGCATCTCAAGAAAAATACTATAAAATGAAATAAAATACAGAATCGTACCAAGCCAATGCACTGGCCTACCCAAGGGCAGTGATGGTCAAAACGCTCGACACAGTTGTTGCAAATGGAACAGTGTGAGCAACGAGGGGGGCGGTATAGCATGCAAGTGTCACAGTATTTGACTCTCACAGGGAGCCCATTGACCATTATTTCTTTCGTTCGGGGGAACTGGAGGCTCGGTGTTTGCCGCCCGCCGACATCAATCGTTGCTGATGTGTCATAACGGAACTCTTCTTCCGGAGGGTGTGAGTTTCTTGGTACAATTCCTGGGTCTCGGCTTGAAGTCAGAAGCAGAAGCACTAAAACCTATCAGAATCAGTCAAGACATTAGATAGAGATTAAATATAGTTCTGTATGTAGATTGTAAATGTAGACTAACATTAGATAAAGATTTTATAGAATAGAAAAACAAGGAATTAAAAGATCCAATAATCACACATGAACATGAATGCTTAAATACTTCTGGAACAAGCTGTGGGCAGCCATATCAAATTATCCCTGTAATCTACAGTTTTTGAAAGTCATAAAGGACATATCTCCAGATAGAAGGCAATAACTATGAACTTATTTACTTGGTCTTTTACATAATCCCACACAGCCAAAACAAAAATGGTTGTAAGGTATCTTTAATTTGGTATGGCTTTATAGGTTGCAAGTCATACTGAATATATGCTCACTGGACAAATCATTCTCTGTGGCACACAAAACATAATTACAGAAGCCAATCCCTACTTCTATGATTCACAGAAGAAGTTCCTTCATCAGCCTTCTCGGTAATGAACAGTTATCAACCTATTGCAGAAAATCCATCAATATTATCAGCATAACCTGGTCCCCACAAGGCTCAGGGCGTGAGAAAGAAAGTGTTCACAATATTCTCATATATGAGCTAACCCAAATAAATTAGATAATTAGCTGATATTTGAGATGTCCACGGATAGACAGATAAACGTGTACAAAATGGACAGTTCTAGGCGAAGATTAATGAGAAAGTATGTATGGACAAACAACTAGAGCAGCGACAATAATTGACATGGACCTAGCAAAAGAGGTACTTAGGAACTAACGTGAATAGTGAAGACAATTGCGACTATGAGGATTGCATATCCAGCATTGTAGGACGAAAACTCATGACGAAGATGCCTTGCGACAAAAACACAAAAGATAACGACCGGCGCAATGATCAACAATAGTGTGACCAATACTGACTTTGCATCAGGGCCAAAAATCAACCTCCCACCAAAAAGAAATATCTGCAAAGATACAAGTTATGTCACGCATAGTTAAACAATAACAGAAGCTTTAAGAGAAAAAATCAAATCATTCTCAAGAGTGATAGAAAAACATCTTCTATAACTAATAGCCAGCCACTGCTACCTGGGAAGCATGGATCCTAAGACAGCACAGGCAACAATATAACACGGAAATGTCTATACTGCAGCTCATAATGTAGGGCGGCATGGCATGTTGAACAGGCAAAATAAGACTACATTATCACAACATGGTAGAGATTCAAAATACAAATGATTGTGAATTCTATCTTTAAAACAAATTCAGTGTTCCTCAGTAAAGCAACAGAATCTTCCTGAAGTAGCCACTTAAGTTCCAAAGGGCAATAGCAAGCATGTGGACAAGTATAAAGTTCACTTTCGAAAATTCTTCTACTCAACATTATTACTCAAATACCAAATAACAAATATTTATGAAAGCATATAATCCTGTATAAAAGCAAAAAACAGTCCGGCTTCTTAAACGGCCCTAATATCTGACCCTCCAAATATATCTAAGCATCAAACCTTGATCAACTTGTAAGCAAATATTTCATTTCTTAACATGTTCCTTATATTTGCAGCCTCATTAGTCATTACATTTATAAAAGCTCTGTCCAATAAGATGATTATATTATTAAAATCAACAGACTGTAACATGTGATGAGTTATTTTTTTCTTTGGTTCACTGAAAAATCTAGAGTAATCTTCTATCCGTGATGAAGCGTTGGATTGGATCTAAATACCCATTTTATGCAATAAGAAAAAAATAATTCTTAGGGATATTCCATAGCATATCTCCATATAATTCTACAGTTCACTGAGGCCAGACGTACTATGATCAATGAGTATAACCATAGAGGAAAATACTAGAGATTATGTCATGCAAACGAACTCCTAGTTAAACAAATATAAATCTGTCAATTTATTAAGTGAATAATCTCAGATGCATGTAACAAGCTTACCATACAAAATATATAATTCAAATTTCAAAATACAAGCATACATAAAATTTAAAAATACAATCATACTATGTATCTTTTGACAATTGTGTAACTACAAATGTTAAAAATTTTGAGTTGTCCCCATCCCTATACACACACACAAATAGAGTGATGAAAATAAAACAACTGTTAAACACAAAAGAGAATTCGGAAACTGAATCTCAAGGAGAAAATAAAGGGAAAAAGAAAAGAATCCCAATGGCAAAAGGCCCAAAAATATTATATGGAAAAAATGCAACAAATAATGAGTGCTATTCACACAACGCTTACAATAATATCCTATACTTGGGTTCATTGGAGATGTAAAACACCTTGATTGACATGATTGCAGTGCATTTATTCTATTAATCATCACCTACACTAAAGAAATTTCAAGACATGATCACAAATCACCTGTTTCTTTACTTATTTAATACCCAATTATTTTGAGCGAACATCCCTGCTTGTTTTATGTTTGAGTGAAGCATATTAAATAATAAATACGAATAAAATAAGATAATTTCTAGCTGAATCTAAAAGCTCCACTAATATGATTGTATACAAGATCCATCAAATTGATATGGCATCATAAAAACTCGACACAAGAAACAATTTGTGGTTCACGAAAACATGATTTTAATTAACTAAAAAGGTGAAAGACATTACAGGGAAAGGAACTCGGTATACGCTACGACACTCCTTATGTCGGCATACTCGCCCTCCTCCCCAAATCCATACACTTCATTGACACTAAAATGTCAAATTAAGGGAACCATAGCTTAAATTTTTTCAAAGTAAATTGCAAGTAATCAAGTAATCCTTAGCTTCATAGATACAAAAGATTAGGCACAAATATTTCTCTCTACTCTTAAGCCTGCACTACAACTGTCCAATACTACATCAAAAGTAGTTTAATAAATAAACAAGAAAGCAAAAGATGTTCCTTTCTGTCTCTTTCCAAGTCCGTGCCACCTATCAAATTTAGCTGGCTAATACCCACTTCGTTTTATAAACAATTCACAACGCAACCCACCCAAATCCTCACCCACAAGCTAGGAAACTGAAAACCCAAATTTGACTTAACAGGCAACTGATAAAACCGAAACACCCAAGAACAATAAACACCATCAGCATACGCCCATAAAATCGAATTTAAAGAGGGAGACAAGAAGGAGGAGAAAAATCGAATCTCACATTGTTACCCTTCCATACTTCGTGCACGCGCTTAGCCATTCAGCAAAAAGAAAAAAAAAAAAAAAAAACCCAGAAACAAGATACGCTCTGCTACGCCGGAAATGAATCGAAGATCTCAAACTTGCAACAGCTCATTTCTCGGCGATAAATTTCCGGCAACTAATTTAACTGCACTTTTCCTCCGGCAATAATTAGAGCGACCAAATTTGAAAATGCGGCGATTTAAGACGAGGGATTTAGGGATTTTGAAATTTTGAAGGGTGTTTGGTCTTCGGTTTTTGCGATCTGATTGGCAGGGCTGAGCGAGGTTTAGGAATATTATTGGGAAGGAAAGTAAATCGTCACTGAGGTTTTCATAATTTTATTTAAAGAATGTCTTTTAGTAGTACTACAGTTTTCATTTACAACTTTCCAAAAATAACAATTTTATTGGTCTGTAACTTTGATTATTATAAAAAAACAGTAAAATATACAAATATTCTATAAAGACATCGTCAAGAATTGTGGTTAGCAAAAATTCTATGGAGCCATCGTCATCCATGACTTAGTGTATTGACATTTGTCCAAAGTGTATTTATTGTAGGACACGTGTTAATATACTATTTGTGAATAACTGTGGATAACTCCATAAGCCGAGCCATCCGATGGCTCTATAGCAAAACTGTTGTGGTTAGGTTACAAGTAAAAATCAACTTAAGTTGTTTTTTTATGGGTGTTTCCTATTCAACTCTTTGACCATGCGAGGTTGGAAAGTTTGATTATGCTAAGTTAATAAAGTTTAAATTTAATAATATTAAGATAGAATCTTCTTTGTAAATGATATCCTAGGTTTTACCAATTTTTTCCTCTCTATATAATTTTTTTTTTCATTCATTATTATTAAAATTACCATGTATAATTGAATACGACACTCTTAATTGTCACTAGTATTTGATCATGTGCATTTGCACAGATACAAAACACGTTTTTATTTGTATATTAATTAGACATGTACTTCTATCATATAAAAATTATTATTTTTACTTAAGTTATTTTTATCATTCAACATTAATTGAGATTTAAATTTTATTTTAACCATTCAACGTTTACATTAGTAACATGAATAAAATAATTTATATATTTGTGGCATATATTAAGAAAATTAACATAAAAAAAATATTGGTGTTTCTTATTTTTAGAAGAAAAAAAATATGTGACAATCATATTTTTCTTCCAACAATACAATCAAATATAGCGGTTACAGCTCTAAATGTGCAATCAACTTTAAGTTCCAACATTAGCCGTTACACATTTAAATATTGTGCTACCAAATTTAAAATTAATTTAGTAACTGATCTAAAAAATAAATAATAAATATATATATATTAAGATGTAACAGTTTTAGCAGATTAGTGAGTAATTAATTAAAAAAAATATAATTTCCTTTGGAAAAAAATGAAAATAGGTTTTATTAAATGTTTTATAAAATATATTAGCTAGTAATTATATATATATATATATATATATATATATATATATATATATATTACAGATGTACAATACACAATAAGAAACAATTAATAACATTGTAATGTTGTACTACAACTACATGCATATTATTACTTACAATTACATATACATCAAAGGCAAGTTGACCATCAAGTAAATGTACCGAAACATGAACTATATTGCGAACCTTGCAAAAATACATAAGAGAGCTTGTCATATGACTAGTGGCACAGAAATTGACATACATCCACCTTTTAGGGAAAAAAAAGCTTACCAGAAAGCTTTTCAGTGTACCTAGTTTTGTCCGAACCAGATTGTGTTGAGAACATAGAAAGCAATGTTTGCTATTGTGTCGGATTAATGCCCGTAGCAGCAGCATAAGGAGTATATGAACCAATAGCAGAGACAGATGGACCACCGAATGGGCAGCAGCGGCATGAACCAGATAGATTAGTTGAACTGAACCTGCTGAGCTAGAAGAGCCGCTAACTGAACCTGGAGAAACGGAACCACGGCCAGCTCCTCCACGCCCCCGTCCCTTCCTACCAGAATGACGTGAAATCGGCCAATTTTTGGGGTAACTGATCAGCTGATAACAATCAGTGATCTCATGCCCAGGAGTACTACAATAAGTGCAGAATAAGTGTCTACGGGAGCCACGTCTGCGTGGCATGGAGAAAGGTGCGGCGACCATAGCAGCAATCTCGCCGCCGGTAGGAGCGGAATCCTGGACAACAGCACCAAAACTCATTGGTGAGGAAGCGACTCACGCTGGGAAGATGAATGAAGTCGCTCTTCCTCAACAACCCAGGAGTATGCTCACTCCAAGATTGGCAGGGGATCTGTCGGAAGTAAGTTGGAGCTAACGGAGCCATACAAATCCGAATTCATACTCATTAGAAATTGGTGGAGGCGCTTAGTTTCTCAGTGTCGCTCCAAGATAGCAGACATTGTGACTTGACATTTAGCACATAAATCCGTGACCGGAGGAGTGTCGGAATCCCTGACGTTATCCCAAAGTTTTTGAAGACTGCCATAATAGTGCTCAAAGGAAGAATGGCGCTGCTTACATTCAGCTAGGTCCATCTTGAGTTGTTGAATTCTGAGCCCGTCACAAATGGAGAAGTGCTGTTTGAGGTGATCCCACAGATCGACTGCCACTTTCTTCTTAGGAATCGGAGAACAGAGTGAGGGATCAATGACATTCAACAACCAAGAAGTAATTAATGATTGGATAATCCACCAGTCATCCAAGTCAGATAATCTATTTTGTTTCTTTTGACCATACATCATAGTTTGAAGGCCTCTTTAACAATACCTGAGTGATGAAGAGTCCAGGATTGTCGCTTGAAGTTATTGTTGGGATCTATGAGGATCTCGTTATGCACAAATCACGATTTCAATAGCAAAACGTAAACCTATGCGCATCGGATCTAAAGGTTTGCGTAGAGAACTTATGGCTTAAAATTTATGGCGGTCTGACTGATCTTCTGGATGGTCATACACAGCACACCAATTAAAAGTTGACTGCAAATCGCGTCCTAGGGTTGCACGAACAAGATCGGATCGAAAACCGGATCCAACGGGTGCAAACGGATAAAGACAAGCTTGCAATCCTGGAAGCTTGCGGCGGCGCGTGAGGGCGCGTGAAAGGTCGAACGGCTGCGATCTCGGCAGCGTTGAAAATCTCTCGTCGAGACGGACCTCCGGTTAGTTCTGTACGACAAAATTATTTCGTCTCGGTTTACCCAAAGATCTTCTACTGTATATCTCAAACACCTCTTAATCTTGTACCGGTGGAACAACAAGAAGAAGATAAAGCTCGAATGGGAACTGAGAGAGAATATGGGGCGGCGTGATTGGCGTGTAAGATTATAAGACTTCTCTTCCCATGAGCTTAATGGTGTATATATAAAGCTACAGTAGGGACCCTTAGGAGATTAGGATTAAGGCTCCTTAATTAATTAAAATACTTGTGAATCAAGCCACTTATTTTAATTAATTAAATAATATTAAATGGGCCACCAACATAATATTATTGCACTCCATTTTCATAGCCCAATTTACAATTGAGACTCCAATAATAATTACTCGACTTCTCTCCCCATGTTTAAGATATAATGTCCATTAATTAATTCGATTACTGACAATCAAGAATTAATTAATTTATTATTATTTCACCGAAGCTAACGCTCGTTCATCACATTATTACTATGCCAGAATTTAATCCACCTGCAGGGTTTAGCATAATAATCCTTCATGAACTCACTCCGGGGACATCATCAAACTAACGCACATGGTGACCGTAAATATCCTAACAGCACATCCTATATGCAGCAATATTACCCAAGACAGCGGGTCTATTGGCCCAGTTCACTAAGCCTCACCCATGTGAATCAAAGTAATAAGTACTACACATATATGCCTGTTTAATATCTTACGGGTTAAGAGTACGCAGTAATTAACCGAGGCCTAGTTTGTTTACGACGATCAGTATAAAACGAACTGCTCATCTCTGGGATCCCGTTCAATACATAAATATACTAGTGCAACTAATTAGTCAAGATAAACTGTACGGTACAACCATTCACAATAGGGTGTTCACGTCCATCTGGGTTGTGAACCACTTATTCTTGTTTCTCGAGTAACTGATAGCATGATCTTCGGTTCGCCCGATGACGACCCACACTATCTAATGTAAAACAACAGAACGTAGAACTTGTTTAATCTAACATGTTTCTCATTCATAAAGGGTAAAAGTGTAATATCATCTAAAACCAAGCTTTCAGTATATAACACTAACAATTATTTCATAAGGAGAAATTGTTTTGTGTGCTGCAATCTCGACGTCAGTTCGTCTTGATCTAAACTTTTGTGGTCAGACATAGTGTATTGCAGACAAAGACTAAGAGAAGCAGGCGCGAGAAGAAAAGAAAAGAAAAAATTAAGGAAACCTGCTAGATATCATGAGAAGGAGAGGAAGAGTGCCAGGTTGAAAGCGACCGGTGTGAATCAAAGTTGTAATATCGTCATGTATTTCATTAGGGTTTGTACAAAGATATATATTGAGTAAAACCTTATAAACCTAATGGACTATTCCTCCTACCACCTTATATTCACTTGTGAGTTGTCCCACATCATTTATATAGGGAAAATAAGTATAATTTATAAGTCTAATGGGCTACTCCTCCTACCACCAATTGGGTTTAGGATGGAACCTCACTTGGGCTTCATATGAGCTTTCCTTGTTATAGTGCGCTTCACGTGCGTGGGACTGCACCCGTTTCCTCTGTTTCTTACAATGTAGAGACACAATTTAAATAATTAAATATGTATAAAATAATATATCTAATTTTAGTTATGGTTTTATATTAAATTAATTAAATATAAAGAGAAAAGAGAATATTTTATGTAGAGTAATATGTGGAATGGACGATTAGAAATTAAGGGCTTGATTGTTTATGAAAAATTTGTTTAAAATGAGTTATTTTGATTAACCATAGTTAATTTTGAAAAAAGTGTATGGTTAGTTGTTAGTGAAATTTTAAGAATGTATTAAAATAATATTTAAAATAAAATGATTAAAATTGATGCGATGTAAAAGTAAGAGATATATGATTGAAAAGGATAGGTGGTTAAAATTATGTGAGTGGATGAATAGTGAATCAAAATTGATGTGATGTGCAAGAATGATTGGTTTGTAATATTTAATTATATGAATAATATTAAAAATAGTGGGTTGAGTTAAAGTTGAGTTAGATTTTGAGTTGAAATAAAAGTGAGTAAATAATTTATAAACAATGAAGACCTAAAATCTTTATTTTTGTTTCACTAAACTCTATTTTCGAGTAAAGATAATAGTTGAAGATGGAGAATGGTAGCGTCTAACATTGCGCTGAAGTGTGCAACCACATATTGTTTTGCGAAGTCTTGTGAGCCTTTATTAGTTGCTCATGAATTGAGTTCACCTTTATTTTCTAGAGCATGTTTGTTTAAGAAGACCGGAGTAGATAATTTTTATCTAAGGTTCAAGATTGTGGTGTAGAGATTCGTGTAGTTTTACGTTTGTTATGTTTGATACGTTTGTTATTGTTTGATTTACTCGAGATAAGATTGTCATAATAATATGTTTGTATGTGTTTGTTTTCTTAGATTGTGAATAGGATAATGTGCACATTTACAAATTTGCCCATATCCTCAACAACTGGTTAACACACGGAGGCAAGCAAAGCTATTCTCTCTCCTGTGACCGCTAGATCTCCATTAATATAAGCAAAGCTCCTCTTTCTCTGTCAACCATTTCTGCAGACTCTGAAAAAGCTCAATTTATTAATGTTTATTTTTTATCTACAAACTTTGTCTCACTTTTTGAGAGTTATATTCTCAAACTTCCAACTGAAACAAATTCCCCAATTTTGTTCAATTGAGACCACAAAATCAATTAATCACCGCGGAAATCTGCAGAAATTCGGTGGTTTCAAAGGTTAATTTCTGATCGGTATATGAAATCGGCCACAAAGTGTTAGACGCACAGGAACTCGGAGTCACATGAATGGTCCAGATCTTGAAGAGCAACGACACCACCGCTGAGACGTTCGGCCTCAGCTACTCCTCCGCCAGCCTTTGCTACTTCTCGTTCGAGACTCCGGCGGGCTCGTCGGAGCATGAAGCGCTGTAGATGCTCTGCGCGACGGACTTCTCGGCCCGCGGGTTCTGCAACTTCAGCCTGGTGCATAAGAAACAAGGCGTGAATAATTTGCATTGGTGAAATAGTGAGTGTTCGTAAACTGGCAGGCTAAGTAATTTTTGCATTGACCAAGGTTAATATAGTCAACTTTATTTACTTTTAGGGATAAATTTGTAAATTGCAATAGCTAATACTGTACAGACAGAGCACAATCATACCCATCCAATAATCGCGGTTTTCCACGATACTTACACTGTGCATCGCGGGCTGTACATTAACGCTAGATTAAAGGCCCATCTCCAATGGATGATTGTCTATTTTTGGTTGTATGGCATGGAGAATGGAAGCTAAAAAATTATGTCTCCAATGATAAATGTTAATTGTGATTTCATTTGTGATGTGTTGAATTTTAATTGGTTGAAGAAGATAAATAAATTAAATAAATATTCTAATATACAAAAGAAGTTGTCTAGAAAGACTTCTACATCTAGAAAGCCTTCTAGAATTTTTTCAAGCCACATAAGATTAATTGTGACATGTGGCAACAAAATAGAGAAAGGGAAAGACCATTGGAGATGCTCTTAGAGGCGCAATCTTGTTCTGTCCAGGTTAACAAACGTGCCCTTTAACTCTTAGGCCTCATTTACTTTCATGGATGGGATTATACATAATAATCCAGCCTAACTTTACACGTCAGTATGGTATTAAAAAATCTGAAATTTGTCCTATGTTTACTATCATGGACCAAATGATAGGATAAGACCTTAAATGCCCAATTTACCCATCACTTCATAAAATTGAAGCCAATTTGGAGAGTTCGAGATTTGTCCATCTCCGTCGGCCGGTTATTTTTTTTTTCTTCTTTCTCTGAAAAACCAACAGCCCTTTTGTTTTCCGACAAGGATAAACCAATAATTTATATATATGTATTATTATGTTCTTGAATAAGGTTCTGGTCTCTTATGTTACAAGAGGTCGCATGTGGCGATTGGATAGGGAAATTTTGTTAATTTCGGATCTTGATGAATTTGGGAGAGGTCGAAATCAGGTGGAGATTGGATAGTGGATTTTTGTTAATTTTGGATCTTGATGGATTTGGGGGTTAGGGTTCTGAGGCTGTGACGATAATTCATTGGGGCTAATGAATCGGGCGGAGAAAAACCCAACCTGTATTTTGGCGGGGTAGGCCGGACGGCGTTGTGTCTGACTGCATCGCAACCGGTTATTGCAACCATGGCAGTGTTGTTTTTTCTTGGGCATAATTTCTGAAACAGATCTGAGCCTCCATTTTCCTGCAATTAGAGCCATGGACGATTTTCTTTTATATGGTAAAAAATTGTAAATACAAGTACATTAAGGGGTAATTTTGTCTTTTCGTAGCCAATTTTGAGGAGAAAATTGTCAATGTCGAGATAGGATTAAAAAATCTGGGGGTCAGGTAGGGATTCATTTATCAGCAAATCATTGATACACGCGTGGGACCCGCATGCCACATGCGTGGCAACTGGGATCGATCCTATCCAAATCATTGAAAGTAAACGCAAGATAAATGGTGACAATTTAAGTTATCCGATACTATCCCGCAAAGTAAACGCCCCCTTAGAGT